GTAAATGGTGACTCTGTTACAGCATTTTTCTTTATTTTAGGAAGTAAAGGCATATAGCAACAGTCAAGTTCAAGTGGGCAAGGTGAGCAGTGGGCAGAAGCAGTTGTTATTGCAGGGGTCTCAATTTCTGGTGCAACTCTAAGCCTCTGTTCTCATTTGTGTGCCTTAGGTAATCCACTCAAGTTATGTCAAGCCCCCGTCACCAACCAGCCGACGGACCAATTTTGCTGCTCTTTTGCGCCCTGTGGAGGTATTGCAGCACCCTGTGATGAAGCTTTGAAATTTTCTGCTTAAAGGTCCCTTCTGGATAACCCTCAGGAATGCTTGAGGAGTCACGGTGAGTCAGGGAGGTATTGAGGGGGAGGGAGGGTCCACTCAGTTCTCAGCAGTGCCACATCACCTCGTCTCCCCTTTACCCAGGTGTAGCCCGACACGGCCACGTCGGTCTCGGAGCACGGCCGAAGCGTGCGGGCCGAGGAGCCGGTCATCCTTAGGAGGCTGTGAGTAGCAGAATTTTTGGCTTTTGGTCGAAATGCTGCTAAGATGGTGCACTGATGTCTGGTTTCCTTTATCTTGACAGACTAGGAGGCAGCAGCCCAGTGACAGCAGGAACCTCCCAGACAGCCCGGTGGTCTTCCTTTGCACCCGCTGTGGATTCTCATTCCTGGACAGCCAAGAGATAAGTCGAGGGCTGTGACTTACAGAAGGGATGGAAGGGGGCTGCTGTGTCAGGACTCACCAGGTGGGATTTTTGAGTCAGCTTTGGAGCTGAGGATAGCCAGGAAATATTGTCTTGAGGCCACACAAAAGCCAAGTGTCATTTTTGATCCCGGCGCTGACGTGCGCAGGGCAGAGCAGTCCCGGTGTGTGTTGTGTCATGTGGCTATTGTGCATTATGTGTTGTTTAATGTCTTTTCCCTTAGCCCTTTGAGGGGCCTAACAGAAACCCTGGCATCATTCTTAGGATCTGTGATCTCTGCATTTCTTGGCCTGGCACCAATGCGAGAGGACTTTTGGCTTAGGAGCTGAGACAGGCATCAGAATTGCATTTCTCTTTAGGAGCATCTGGTGTGATGTCTTTGCAGGTCTTGTTCTGAGCCGTATGTACTGCTGTGCATCGCAAGGATCCATTATGGCAGATTAGGGCTTGTAAGAATGCAAAGATAGGTAGAGGATCTGACCCTAGGATTCTCAGACATCCATCTTTGTAGTTCTTGGAATAAACCATTGTCTTAGCAGGTTATTCCTCCAGGGTACTGTGAGCCTCATCAGCTCGCCATCAGTCTCACCTCGGTCATCTAATCTTGCGTTCTCTCAGTCCTTGCAGTCATTCCTCTTGCCATGAGATTTCTGTCCCTGTTGCGTCCCCATTGTTTGTCACGTCCTGTCCCGTGTCACAGGTGTCTGCACATATTTGTGCCGGAGCTGCTCTGCCCTGCTGCATAGCCTGGTGTAATAGGACAAATCCTGGGGGCTTGAAATTTGTAATGTGGGGTGTAGTTGGATTCTAGATGGGATTTGTAGATGGACACAAGGTGCCTGGAGCAGTGAAATTATCCTGCAGCCCTTTGACATTTGTCCTGACTTTCTTTCAGATGCAGGCGGATAAAATCTGTGGCAGAGCACCCCATCCCGGCTGAGGGGGTTCCTCTGAGCAGGTCAGTCACCATTTGTCTCTGCGGGGGAAGTGTAAATGGTGACTCTGTTACAGCACTGTTCTTTGGTTTTGTTTTTAGGAAGTAAAGCTGGATATCAGCAGTCAAGGTGAGCGGTGACCACTGTACAGAAGCAGTTGTTATTGCTGGGGTCTCAGTTTCTGGTGCAACTGTAAGCCTTCTTCTTGTTTGTGTGCTTTAGGCAATCCATTCGGAGTATGCCGAGCCCGCCCCCCAGCCGGCCGATGGATCAGGTTTGCCGCTGTTGTGAGCCCTGTGGAGGATCACAGGACTCTGCGATGAAGCCCTGAACCTTTCTGTTTCAAGGTGCCATCCGGCTGGCCTTTGTCAGCCGCTGAGGAGTTGCGGTGAGTCAGGGAATAGGGAGGAGGCGTGAGGGTCCGCTCATGTTTCAGCAATGCCACATCTCCCTGTCTCCCCTTAAACCAGGCACACCCTGCCACGATGGCATCGGCCTCCAAGCATTGCTGAAGCTAATGGCATTAGGAGATGGTGAGTAGCGGAAGAGTTGGGTTTTGGGCAATATGCTGGTAAGACCATACACTGATGTTTTCATTTCTTTAATGTAGCTATGAGGCAGCAGCCCAGTGACAGCGGGAATTTCCCAGATGGCGAGGTGGCCTTCTTTTCCACCTGATGCAGATTGGCATCCCCAGATGTCTGAGAGATAAGTCGAGGGCTACGACTTGCCGAGGGGGTGAATGCGGGGTGCTGGGTTGGGACTCGCCGGGAGGGGTTTTTGAGTCAGCTTTGGGGCTGAGGCTATCCAAGAAGTGTCCCCTTAGGCCACATAAAGGGAAAGTGTCACTTTTGATCCCAGCGCTGAGGTGCGCAGGGTAGAGCAGTCCCGGTGTGTGTCTTTCGTGCGTTCTGTGTTTGGCTTTCTCAGGTCTTTTACCTTAACCCTTTGAGGGGCCTATCAGAAACCCTGGCATCATTCTTAGCATCTGCGATCTCTGCATTTCTTGGTCTGGCACCAATGCTGTAGGACTTTTGACTCAGGAGCTCAGACAGGCATCAGAGTTGCATTTCTCTTTAGGAGCATCCAGTCAGATGTCTTTGCAGGTCTCGTTCCGAGCTGTACGTACTGCTGTGCATCGCAAGAATCCATTATGGCAGATTAGAACTCGTAAGAACGTGAGGATAGGTAGGGGATTCTGACCATAGGATTCTCAGACATCCATCTTTGCAGTTCTTTGACAAAATCATTCTCTTAGGAGATGCTTCCTCTGTGGTTGTCTGAGCCTCATCAGCTCACTGTCAATCTCACCTCAGTCATTTCATTTTCCATTATCTCAGTCCTTGCAGTCATTCTTCTTGTCGAGAGATACTAGTCCCTGTTGTGTCCTCATTGTTTGTCCTGTCACGGGTGTCTGCACACGTTTGTGCCGGAGCTGCTCTGCCCTGCTGCGTAGCCTGGTGTAATAGGACACATCCTGGGGGCTTGAAATTTGTAATGTGGGGTGTAGTTGGATTGTAGATGGTATTCCTAGGTTGACCCTGGGAAGTTGTCTGGAGCTGTGAAGTTATCCTGCTGCCCTTTGAACTTTCTCCTGACTCTGTTTCAGATCCAGACGGATAAAATTTGAGGTGAGCTGGGGCAGTGGTGTGGAGGAGTCCTGGGGATTACTGTTTTTGAGGGTAATAGTCACATTTTCTGTGTTGTCTTAGGTACTGCAAGGAGCTTCGTAGGCCAAGTTTGGAGAGAGCGCCACCGAAGCACACGGGACCGTCTCAATGTCCACGTCCCACCGGGGATGGATTTTGTCAGCTCGTCTTCCAAAAGCTAAGTGTTGGGGTCCATAGCTGGGAGAAGGGAAAACACCTTTACTATCACAGGAGGCCATGTGATGTTAGCTTAGCAGAGCAATCTGTAGCGGAACAGGTCCCTTGGATGTAAAGGGAGAGGGTTTCTCCTTGGCCTCACCAGAGCCTTTGCCGGGCAGGGCAGTTCCGACCCGTCTCCGCGTTCTCGCGAACTTTGCGTCGTCAGCCTCCTTCGACCCTCGACATCGTCGTGGATCTTTCTCCCGAGGAGCTCGCCTTCAGGTCCGGAGCTATAGCCACCATCACCCGGCAGTCTTTGCTTCCTTATCTAGGCCCACCGAGCCTCTCAAGCATCCTCTTAACTGCTTTGGCACTAACTTCTTTTAAGGAGTTGCATTTCATCGTCACACGCTATT